GAAACTGTTGAGTGTGGATATCTTGCACCAGTTGAAGACTCCCTAAAGGCTTAGGAAGTGAAATAAAGACAAACTAAGGTTTTTTTATGAAACAAAGAAGCTTAACTAAAACATTTCCTTTTGAGCTGTACTGACAGAGACATGCATTGATACTGTGCGACAAAATTAAACACTAATTTTTGACAGTATAACAATAGGCCACACACTATTAAGTCATGTGTACTTGTGTCGAGTGTCAAAAGTCTGTGATAATATCGTGACAAGCACCAGGCTTAGATATAATCAGTAACACAAAGTCCAGTAATTTCCTGGCATTACGATTACAAGTTATGTTAAACAAATGATTCAAAACACAATGGTACATGAGTAATAATCAATAAATTATCACTAGTCAACATTGGGATTCTTGAAACCAAGCAATACCAAGTGAGAAGGTGTGTCACACATCACAATCAATACAGTCAAACCTCAGTAACTCAAACCTGCTACTGTATTTTGTACTTAAATGACTTTCCCTGGGATGTGTTTTAACAGTTATTTATTATCAGCTACTCAAAACCTCGCCATCTCAAACTATCTAAAGTTACTTTTGACCAAGGGTTCAGCTTATATCTCCATAAAGTTTAGTATATCGACATGTAGTAAGTCATAACACAAAAACATACCAGACTTCTCCTCAAGGTCAAGGATACAAGCTCTCACCACACTTCGATATCTCCTGCTGAACTTTATCAGGCTGTTAAAAAGAAATATTGTTTTCACAAGCTCAGGAATTAAGCCACTTGCAATAAGTAACCCTATAATTACCTAGTTAGTGAGCAAAGTGTTCTTTTCTAAACTTTCAATAGCTCCATTTTGTTAATAAGAGATGCATGCAAACCAGACTAGTGAATGACTTTGCAAAAAATATAAGAAAAATATATTTTTGTTAGTACCTAGCTTTTCTTCCTGTACCCCCACCGTCAGGAACATGTTGAAGATCCATAAAGATAGCTAGAATGTAGATAGTTTTATAACATTATTACATCAAAACTTTTACATTCAAAACTATAGCAAAGTCAAAGAAATGTATAACCAAAAGTTAAATATTACCATGGGTCTCATTAATCAGCTTGCGAGTTATAACACTTTGAAAGTCAGCTCCCCAACGGACTTCATGTAAGACAGGATACCTGTAATGTGTGGAACTCTGGGAAGTTCCTGTGAATAATGAGTCAAAGTAGGCATAGTTATACTTGAAGATGAACAACATGACTGTATAACTCATTTCTAGCTCAGGTACTTAACAAACTGCCAAGTCAGCTTTTCTTTATAAGTCAAATTATATCCTGCTACTTTGTTGTAAAGCTTGTCAATAAAGGCCAAGCTTTTGTATACTGACTGATTTATAACATTTATTACATCGATAAGTGATTATTTTAATGTTGGTTTTATAGCATTCTATCAGAAACAGTTGAATGTATATCTGTCCATAGCTGATTGTCAGAGCTGTGATTTGTAGTACAAAGGCCTCCACCAGATCTTACTCGCAATTAATGTACACACCTTGAATGACATGTTCATTCCCTACAAGTGCCTCTTACAATGGACACCTTTGATTTGAGCTCAAAAATACAGTTGGACCACTGTTAAGTAACCACCCCGTATTAAGCAGCCACTTATCAAAGTCCCAAAATTATTGCCAGTAAAGTTCTCTAGATAAAACCTCTATTAAGCAATCGCTTCTATTATTAGCCTTCTAATTGGTCTTCCTGATGGGAGTTTTTTATTGTCCATACCCCTATAATGTAGCCACCCAAAATTGAATGCAAAGAGCTTGATTTAGTTTTGGAAAAGGTGATGACAGATAAGACTCCAAAATATAAAAAGTGACCACTAATAAAAACGTTCAAACACAGTTTTGTTAATTGTAGCTTCACTATGTAATACAGAACACAATAATGAGCCATTAGGTTTATTTTGCATGTTTGGCCATGAACAGTTGACTCCTGATAACCTGAACCCTCGCTAACTCAAACCTCCTGCTAACTCGAAGTAATTTTCATTTCCCTTCAAGCCAATTTCTATATAATTTTACCCTCGATAACTCGAACTTCCAACAACTCGAACCTTTTTCTTTTTCCCCTGAAGGTTTGAGTTATCGGGAGTCGATTGTATCAGAGTACAGTACATAAAAGCTGGTTACACAGAAACACTATCTTCTAAATTCCTTCCAATAATCACCGTCATAGTGTAATAAAGCTAGATAAATAATGAGAGCCAGGCAACCACTAACAAGACATAAAGGATATTACATGACTGCACAAGGATACAAAATTTCTCTAAGCAGCCAACCTCTATTTAGAAGCCCCCTCCCATTTCCCCAAGGGTGGCTGCTCAATGGGGGTTCAACTGTTTTCCACACCCTGATCCCATGGAGGGCCTTATGGTTTGACCTCTCTCAAGCCCCTAGGAAATCCCAGTTTTGACTAATGGTTTCCTTAAAAAATTTTGACACCCTCCCACCCCACAATATTTGGGGCAAGTATCAATATTCTCGGGGCCCCACAATGTCAGATATCTCTCTCTTGGAGAAAGAAATTAATGAGTGACAGTATAGCAGTTTTCTCAGGATTCAAACTTCATCATTCACATCAATTTTTGTCATTTTATTTTTCCATGCAGCTCACACACTCAAATATTTTTAAATGCTGCACACTGAACTGGCATCTTACTTGGTCTGCCATCTGATGTGTGTACAAGTATTCCATGACCTGGAGCCCAGTATCCTGTGAGATTCTGACATCCTGGAATCACCTTTTCATAAAAGACGTTAGACATTAGCACTTTAAACACTACGGACAGCTGAACTCCAGGATGAGGCCTCATTGGGCCTTAACATCCTGTATCCCATTAATTCCAGTTTCAAAAATTAAACAATTTTCCTGTTAGATATCCTGGGATATCTGTTCTATATCCCATATCCCATTCATTTCCCCCAAAATATCCTGTATTTTGTTAATTTATCATCTGAATATCCCATATCCTGAAAACTCCTAATAGGACCTCCAGGCTAAACTTTAGAATACCTAACCACTAATTAGTACTTCTCATCATATCCCGCTACACTACAATAGTACACGGTCCACACTCACACCCACAAAGTGGGATCAACAGTCACATAGGTAAAGGTTAAGTCTGCATGTGAGCCAAGAGGCCCATCAGGCTGGGGATTACCCCAGATTCTGTAGCATGAAGCGAATAAGAATATTTCTACTCTCCCTGGACGGGATACTAGTCCATCAAAGGGTTACCTCCAGCATTAAATTCGCCGGTACCCTTTTTTTACATCTGGGTAGCAAGAGGCACTGTGAGAGCTAAGTGTCTTGCCCAAGAACACAACATAATGTCCCCAACAAGGGCTCAAACCCAGACAGGTCGATCTGGAGTCAAACGCACTAACCATGAGGCCGCTGTGTCTCCATAACAGTCACGTACATAAGCTTAAATCTTGAAGTAAAATTCTAACAGTCAAAACTTATACATTCCCTGTGCTTGATATACCAGTTTAAAGCAAAAACGAAAATGGAAGAACAGACAATAAGTAGCACTCCAGCTCAACACTTCACTAATTTAAAATTCACTAAATATGGAACTGCAGACCGTGGTGGCATTTCATTTCCAACACTTACTTATTTCATAGTCTTTGACTACAGGACTGAAGACTGCAGTAGCACGAAATATTTGGCGAAAAAACACAACCAAACAAAGTCATGTCAATACTGTACTGACTGGCCAAATGGTATATTTGAACGAACATAACATTATACAATATTTGATCAAATGTTCCAATTTTATTAAACACGATCAAATACGATCCAACGTACATGATCAAAGAAGATGTTCAAATGAGAAAATGTTTGGTCACCAAACAATGTTTGATTGCCATACATTTCTCGTTTGGACAGGGCTTTAGTCATTCAACATTCCTACAAATTTTAGGCTAAATCATACACCTTCGAATGGTCGGGCATATTTCAAGAAGTTACTCCAAAATCAGTGTAAATTATCAATGACAGACTACAGCTCAAGATTTTAAGTAACCCATAGCGAGTTGACGTTTGTCGGCGCAAATCAGAGCGGATAGTTTTGCAGT